TTTGTACTCTACTTTAGAATACGTTAGAGTACGCATAGAACACGAGATTAATCACGGTCGAAATACGACGTGACCTTCGAGTTCTCTTATAATTAAATATCCAACTGCTGTAATTTACTTACCCTTACCAGAAAATGAACTAATTTTATAATCTATAACCCTGATAACAAGTTATCTACCGCATAGCAGTTAAAATAGGGTATTTATACTACATGGTAGCATTTAAAATATTGATACTGCTCTAAAATATTAACGCATTTTCAAAGATTTCCCTGCTAGGTAGAATGATCTATTTTCTCAACTATTTATTAACTTATATCATATAAGAAATTATTGAATAATTTTGTATTTTATATCCTAAGAATTTACCTTATTGTAAATGAAAATATTATGTTAGTGTCATATTTTTTCTTCCTACCAATTAGGTACAATTTCACATTGTAGATAGATGCTATCTGTTACATACAACAATTATAAGTACTCAATTAATTACAGCTGAAAATTTTGACCTTCAGACTTTAGACTTTGTACATATTTCGGTATTTTACACTTCTAAATTAAATTAAATATTTCATGAAATGAACTCTTTAAAATACTTCTTTAAATGTTATCATAAATTTAGTGATTTAAAACTATTTCAATCTGTATAGACTAAGATTTATTGTCACATGTTGAATTTAGAAAGCATAATGATGAAAATGTCTTTCGAAAGAGTTCTTATCTATATCTACAAATTAATTTATATAGCTATTATTATTCTTTGTTGCAAGCAATAAGCTGACATAATTTTTTAAAGTGTATGTTGCCCCAGATAATCTGATTCATAGCTATGATTACGGAAGGTTGATGAATTTACATCGTACTTTACCTTTTAAACGAGGCTATTCTATCTAGTGTATGAAATTACTATCTTGCTTACACTATGTCTTAGGCAGTTCCTTAAATTTGATTAAAATTGTTTACATTGTTCTAATGGTGATTTTGAGTACAAGTAAAAGGAGAGTTGATGCCCGTATTGGGCCTAAAGATTCGATTACTTTTAAATTTAGGGATTAATACAGTACTGCATTAATTAGCTCCTTATCAAGGAGTATAAAATTTTAAAAGAGTAAAGCAGAAATACGGTGCCAAATACGGTATCTAGTTATGGCATTTCTAACTCCTATGTTTTCAATTCTATTAGATCTTTTTTTATCCGTGCGATAAAAATTTATGCAGTTTCGATACTTTGCAACAGTTAGATTGCATGATGATGATGCAACAAGACAATTATTAACCAGTCTAAACTAACACTCGATATAGTTTAATTGTCAGTTTGAACAGCTGACAACTTTATCTAAGATACTGTTGTAAATCGTGTTATCTCCCTAAATTTGATATTATTATTTGCAATACAAAATAAATAAAACGACGGTCTTTTCTTCGATATTTTAGGGCTTAACAGGTACTATAAGACTATCAAACTATCGGTAAAAATTGTTCGGATAATTGAATATGATTAAATCACAATCTATTGACATAATTTGTTTTGGAAGAGAAAAATATTTTACTATTGGTCAATCAAGGATAAATTTTCGTAGATCGTAGGTGATTGATGATGTATTCGCAAGATTACGTGTAAGCATCTTAAGTTTTAATACCGTATAAAAGATGGTAGTAGTAATTACCATGATTAAGATCTCTTCTATGACTTTCACTCGAGAGATGATTAAGTTGCTAGCAGTAAGCAGATTGTACCTAAATTATTATTACGTCTATTAAAATTCAGTCCTATCACCAGGACACCATTTTGGGCGTATGTATTAGTCTTGCTACTTCTTAACTTATTTCTTCAATAACCAAAACAAGTACGTAAATAACTAACCAGGTAATCAAAATTAGAATACAACTCAAGTTACTCTCTTAATATGATCAACTATATAATAAAAGACGACAACCGATCAATTTCATGCCTACAAGTACGGTAATATACAGTATTTATTTATTTCCTTATGAAAAATTCTTCAATTTTTTATATTATAACTGATTAAATGTGTCATGTTGCTGATGAATGTTCTGTGTATGCATACTAATAAGGTATAGGCTGGTAGTGATCTGATTATTAGGTGGGTGATAAAAAAACCTTTGTCAACAAAGACATGGAGATGCTTGACATCAGAGATATTAAAGAACACCTCCGTACATAAATATTGAATAGCGATGTAGTAAATTGTCTTTCTTGATTCAATAATTGACACAGTCATATGCTTGGACAATATGTTAGAATCACTACCCGTCGTGCATTAAAGCCTAATTGATTAGTTACTGTCAGATGATCAATTATTCAGTCAGAGAATTGGTGTGACGCAGCAATGCTCTAATATTACTGGTAGTCTGCTGAAAGTTCAAATTGTTATGGTAATCTACTTCTTTAAACAAATGATGACCTTAGACAAGAGAACGAATACGTACTTAACAATGTATTGCAGTTTAGGCTACTGGTCAATTAATTACTTGGTACGACGGGTGCAGATATAACAATGATTGAATGCGAAGACGATCATTATAATAACTATAATCACATCGGAATAGGAGAATAGAATAAAACATCGAGATAGTATTGAAAATAGTTCATACACAAGTTGAACAGGTAAGAAAGCAACCGAAAATTCAGATAAAAATCATGTAAACATGGGTTATAGTTTCAAGTAGGAGTACTCTAATAAGAGAAAAAATAAAAATAAATAAAGCGACTAGTATATATGTAGCTTATCTTTTAGCTAATGCCGTAAATTTTTTATTGTTGTTACGTATATCCTGTTAATTTTACATCTCTATAAGGGCTTGATGTAATAGATTCGTGATGATATCTTTACAGTATCATCCCCAAGTGTACTCGTGCTTGCTATTTTTCTGCAAGTCAATGATAATAAATATTTACAACGTAATCTAGAGATCATGGCTGATACTAATAGCGATATCGAGAAAGAAAAAAAGATCGATGAAGAAGCTGAAGTAGCTAAACCAGTTGATTCTGAAAGTGTTGAAGAAGAACGTGAAGGTTGGGGTAAAAAAATTGAATTTCTCCTTTGCTGCGTTGGCTATGCAGTTGGAGTTGGCAATGTATTGCGATTTCCATACCTATGCTACGAAAATGGCGGCGGTAAGTTATGTCAACGCTTCAACGCATTTTACATTAATCTTATTCGCAACTAGCGGCTGCTGCACAATGCACACCAGTCAGAATTATTTTTATAGGCATGATCAGATACAAACCAGAACGATTATTTATACTAAGTAAAGCAATACGGATTAGAATTTTTTTTCTGCAGTACGATCATGTAGCCGTAAACTCGATAAGAAACAACACGTGTTAAGCGGTAAAAATGTCTTTGTAAAATCTGTCAAGGATACTGAGTTAAAGGGAATGTGTTACTCATGTGGATAACAGTTTATTTGGTTGTCTTTGACCTTTTTCTTTGATGCAGTTTTTGTAGAGTAATCAAAATGATGAGAATAAAAAGTTATTCAGTTAGATCTACATTAAAAAATAATACTGGAGCTACGAGATTTCCACATCTACGTGACTCGCCATTACAGTTTCACATCACTACTATAGAGCATGAAATCTTGGATAAGAGCTCTTCCCAAAAATACAGTGCAAAAACTTTATGTAATAAATTCTATTGAAGATAACGTACTTCTTCACTGCTAAGTAGATATAAGATGTAGAGCTATTTTGAATTTATACGCGTATCTCAGTAAACTTACTACAGCATAGAAGTATTCAAGCTTGTACTTGTAGGCGTATTAATTATCTTAAGATTTAGTAAGGCTCATTCTTGAGCATTTCCAAATTTTTGTTCTATTCTAAAAATATGATTATAGACTGTTTTTCAGTAGCAAGTACTCTAAAAAAAGGTTACCATTAAATAAGAAATCTATGAAAAGTTGAACTAATGTAAAATACATGTATAGTAGCAACTAGTCTAGTTTTAAGGCGCTTGCTGGAAACATAATTGCTTCGATAAATACAGTTTATTATTTTTCTAGGCTTTATACGATTTTTTTTGTTTGCCAACTAGCCTCTAGCAATGATTTATAAGGTCAGTGTTGGCTAAAATCTTTTTTTTTATCTAGGGGCATTTCTGATTCCATACTTTCTATGCATGATATTTTGTGGCATACCGCTGATTGCGTTAGAATTTGCTATTGGGCAATACTGGCAGAAAGGACCTACCGTGGTCTTTTTACATCTATGTCCGCTATTAAGTGGTTCGTACTCGTATTGCATTTTTATTCAATTACAGCCATTTATCATTTTGCATGATTAATTCGACCAAGTAGATGTTATCATAAGAATGGCTTCAATATTATATAAGCTATGTGATACAGGAAAGTAAAATACACTCTTATTTTTATTGTATTTAAAAATATCTAGGGATTGGCTATTGCATGATTATGATATCTTTCCTAGTGTCTACCTATTACATCAGTTTGCTTGTTTGGGTTCTTTATTACTTATTCAGCAGTTTTGGTAATCCATTGCCTTGGTTAACTTGTGATAACCCATGGAATACACCAAACTGCGTTGTCTATAATAGATCAAATCCAAACCTAACTGGGACTTCACCAAGCGAAGAATTTTTAAAGTTAGTTCGATAAATTCATGACAGCCTATTTACGCTAATAGATTTTAACTAAATTTCCAATCGTTTTCATTAACGACTCATTCACTTCTACAATCAACTACTATAGATTTAATTATGGCCTCAATACCTACTATTTTTCAAGGAAAAATGGGGGTTATGTAATACTTATGATCAATTTTTTTTAGCGAAAAAGTTCTAAATATGACCAGTTCGCCGTCAGAAATCGGAATTGTGAAGTGGGATCTGGTTCTACTACTCTTGTTGTCATGGATTATCATTTATTTTTGCTCATTCAAGGGCGTTCAATGGACTGGAAAGGTATGACACCGCACGCTATAGCTACTATTTAAGTGTAGATCGTATGCAGTACAAAAGGAAATGTAAAATTTTTTAAATCGCTGGTTTTTTAATTTGTTGTGCATCTGATATATTGAAACAAAAATCTTTCTGAAAACAAATCGCAAATCAAAATTGATGGTATACTTTGATATCATAGTTAGTGCTGATGTTCTGTTTAAAAAATTACCGCTTTTGAAAATATTGTCTTTTTGTATATAGAAATTGCAAGTTAGTGAAATGACTGTATTGTGGTATATATACACATTGCATTTTGAAGCTTCACTAAATATATATACTATAGGTTTAGTTTATTTAAAAACCGATAGCTACCATACTACTACAACTGCATTGCAGGATATTTCTTTTATACGCATGCACTTTGCTATTATTAAATTTCATCGCGTTATTTATATAAGATATGGAACAAGTACTTACGTTTCGGTTGAACTTAAAAAATAAATAAACTTCAATAAATCTATTCATTGGCGTAGTAGCTAGTCAATAATAGATAATAATAACATTCATCTATTAATACTGAGTTGATCAATTGTAGATTTTTAAATACGTGAACTCATGACATGAACTCATATGCTCTAATTTTGTGATAGGTCGTTTACTTTACGGCAACATTCCCTTATCTTGTTTTGATCATCCTTTTCATCCGTGGACTTACCTTGGAAGGTGCTGGTGATGGTCTTTACTTTTATTTAAGTCCAAAGTTTGAGCTGCTACGAAGTATAGATGTAATACGCTTATTTTTTAATACCATTCATATTCTTATTGACAATACGATGTTATTCAGGATACAAAACATGTCACTAATGCAATTAAAAATGGATGATTCATAATGTTTTAAAAATAAAATTCAATTATAACTCCATTCTATCTTACAGTAAGTTTGCTTTCATACTCTGTATCTTTTTAGGTTTGGAAAAAAGCAGGAACTCAGATCTTTTATTCCTTAGGCATCGGCTTTGGTAGCTTAATTGCTTACTCTAGTTATAACAAGAGAGACAATAATGTTATAAAGTATGTCAACTCCAATGAATACTATTAATTTATAATCAATTTACGTACAATGTATCAGGAATTATAGGTAGAATACGATTTCATATCATAAGTGAATTAGTTGCATTCGATTGTAATAGATTATAGCAAAATCAAGAAAAATAGAAACTTCATAATTATAATATTGGGTGCTATAGGGATGCGGTTGGTTTGGCACTTATAAACTGTGGGACCAGCTTTTTTGCTGGATTTGCCATATTTTCTATGATGGGCCATATGTCACGCAAACTGAATGTACCAGTCGAACGAGTGGTAGCTGAAGGTAAATTTAAATATTTACATAATTATCTAAATATAGTAATCGCTTCTATTAAGCTAAAGTAAGGCAAGAATAGACTGTAGACAACTTAGATCTGTACAATGATATTTTCTGTAATATAAATTCTATCTCTACGCAGTCTAGATTTGCTGCATGATATAGATGTACCAAATAATATTACGTTATAGTTTAATTTATAGATATTTTACTTATACTTTATCCGAGTGGCTTCTAAATTAACGGATTGTCACAATTTCGTGGCTTCTAAATTAATGGATTGTCACAATTTCACTTCTGTGACAAGGTAACGTACAGTAAAAGTCCATAAGTAGCTACTGACTTAAACGCCCTTTTACTTAACGTTAAACACACTCAGCAAAATACTGTAAAGATGAAACTTTTATTAGCAAAGATACATCTACCACTTTTTACCACCACACTCATCTCAAATGTTCCCGTTTATATAGGAACCGTCTAATTTGTAAATAACAACGGTGTTATTATTATACCTTACTAGGAGAAATATCTCGAACTGAGATATCCCTTACATAGCTTTTCTATCAGTAAATATTTTGAATCTCTTACGCATACTTAATCTTAATCTAAGCTCGTAGGTTGTCTAATTCAACTATTATCAACTAGAATTTGAATCATCTTACTGCTATCTATCGCACAATAACAATCAATATCAAATATGTAATGAACTCTTACAAACAACATCCACGTTAAGGCATTACTTATCTTACCTAGCACTACAAATATGAATATTCTCCATACTAGCTACTACTGTGCTTATTAAACTATCCTAATGACAAGGCAACACCATAACATGGATTTACTTAACCACGTGAAGTACAAATTGTCGATGTTGATACTTATTAATGTCTGTATTACGATGATATTTTTGTCCAACGTTCATGGCGAAAATAGGTCCTGGATTAGCTTTCATAATATATCCAGCAGGGTTAGCGACTCTACCAGCAGCTCAGTTTTGGTCGGTGTTATTTTTCTTTATGCTAATCACCTTAGCCTTGGATAGTCAGGTATAATGTGTTACTGTATTTAAATCTAATGTAGATAGAAATATAAAAGACAAACTATTGAGCTATGAAATTATGGAAATACTTGTAAAATTTTAATAGCTCGTTACATAAAAATTTAGTTTGGAATGGTTGAATCAGTAGCGACTGGTATTGAAGACGCTTTTGCAAAACATTTACGTGGTAAGAAGCCGTTGACGGTTGGGGTCTTGTGCGTGGTGCAATTTCTGTTTAGTATCGCATGTGTAACTCAGGTAAGTCGAATTGATATCTAAATTTTAACCGTTCTAATTGTTATCATTCTTCTAGCATAACAAGAATTGAGATCAATTTATTAATATTTGCCTATTCGATTATTATGATCTGTATTTAATAGGGTGGCATTTATATCTACTATATTTTCGATTCATATTCTGGATCTACTGCGTTGATATTGGCCGTAGCCGTAGAATCGTTAACTATAAGCTGGATTTATGGTAAATCATTTTGAATCAGTGTTTTAATGATAATTTTTGTATATTTTGATTCGGTGAAAACTCTTATAGCCGATAATGATATAGATTTTTATTAACTTGTTACAGTACAAGCATATGCGTAAATAGAGTATACCTTATCAGCAAAACAAGTAATTATAATGTTATAATTTATTTAGTGTAGTTAGCCTTGGGCTATAGCCTATTGGTACTATTTTAGCTAATTTTGGAAACTTGCAAATATCATTTTATTTAAGATTTTATTGGTGTAAAATTAGTCCGTAGAGTAGTTATAATATAAATGTACAAAATTGATAAGGAAATTTGCTGATATACTCTTACATTAACTTTAAAATCTTTATAGCAACATTATTAAACAGCTTTTAGATAATACAATTACAAACTTTGGAATATAATTCGAAAAGTCAACTTATTTTAACTGACTCATTCTACTTTCCATTGGTTTTGTTACTTACGACGAAAATTCTGTTAAATATTGACAGGTGTAAACAGAATGGCTCGTAATATAGAAATAATGAAAGGCTCTCCAGTTTGGTTTGGTTGGAAAATCTTTTGGGCTGTTATTACTCCAGGATTTATGATTGTACGTACAAATAATTTTGATCGGCCATCATTTTGCTTATATTATAGCCATTAATCAAGTTCATTATTTTAGACTAGAATCGAATAAGGGATACTCTATTAAATGTTAAAAGCGTATAAGAGTACAATATACTGTCGTTGTATATATAATCATGAAAGGGCAATATTAAGTAATTGAAGTATTTTGCATTTCTAATATCATCGATATTGATGTAGATTAGACTAATATATTTATACAATATACTATCATTGTATGTATAATTATCAAAGAGCGACATTAAGTAATTGAATTATTTTGCATTTCTAATATTATTGATATTGATGTAGATTAGACTAATATATAGATGAGCTAAATTTAAATATATCTTGATTGCAGGTAATTTTCGTGTATAGTATTATTGATTACGCACCACTTAAATACGGCGGTAAGCGTTATCCGTGGTGGGGAGATTTTATTGGTTGGGTCATGACTGGGCTTTGCATTATTAGTATCATTATTCCTGGTCTAGTTCTGTTAATTAGGGAGAAGGGTACCCTTAAAGAGGTGAAAAGATAATGAATAATGATAAGTTTTAATTCATCGAGTTAATGCTATCTTAATTAATACAAAATTAATATGTGAATGTTTATATCATCATGAAATATGATAATGCTATAGCTTATATCTATACAGACTGGATATACTTAGTTATGCTTCTATTTAGTTCTAGTAACGATAGAAGTTGTCTTAATGGCACGAAATAGGCTGCCAATAACAGCCACATATATATTACATCATTCCGATAATACTGATGATAATTTTTCTCTTGCTTAAAACAAATCGTAGTCAGATCAAGTTGCATCATTCTTGCTTCACCTCACAAAATTTCCATTTTTAACTTTTACTAGCGATTGATCAAGTTGTGCTATGTACCAGACTCCGCAGCTGAGATAGCTTTTATGAAGGAAAAGAAGGGTTATTCTGAAGAAGAAGTATCATCATTGCCAGAAAAAACAGTATTTACAGGAACTGCACCCCTCAATTATGAGTCCAACGTTTAATATTTACACTAATAATGCGAATAATGATATTTTTTTCTTTACATGTAAGTTACGGTACAAGTTTCGTTTTATTCTCCAGTTTAATTAAGTCGGTGTACTGATAATTATAAAGGATTTGTGCGTACTCTGTAGCTCTATATTGACTACTTTAATTTCATTTTTACGGCATTCCTTTTGATATGCTTAGTTAACACAATTGAGTAAGATACAAATGTCAAATTACTCCATAGGTGTACACTACACAATACAGTATTGCTTGATAGTAATTAAAAGAAACAAAAAGACTCCAGTTTCTAAATTAAGCATTAACAGCGAGTAGTGAGTTTTCAAGACTATAGCGCAGGATACTAAATAGCGTTTGAATAATATCCTGTATTGACTTAGCTGATTTAAGCTAACAGTTATACATAGTGCGCAAGGTAGTATCGCTAGGTATAAAAATGTTACACGGTGTAGCTGAAACTTGCATACTATATTATGCCTTATCTTCACCCAATAAAATTATACACTTAAAGGGCTGCAGTGCAGCCGTATCTAATCCGTTGGGTTCACTTTGACGCTATGTAAACAGAAAATTTTTGTTATACTGTAAGATAGTCTACGGATACTATAAACTATAGTCTACAGGTATAGTAGTAAAGCTGTGCACTTCTGCACAAACAGCGTCAAAAATCAATTACTATTAGTTGATGGAGTAAAATGGAATTAGAGCTCGCTGTTGGTGGGGGGGGGGGGAGTAGATATAACTGGTGAAGTAATATCCGTTCGCATAACATAATACTTTAATGGATTCACTAGTCATTGTTATTTTAAAATTTTCTCTTCCTTATTTAGCTCGTATCAGCAATTCACTATATCGCTACTTCAACGAAAATCAACACAACACGGATAAATTATAGTCACTAAAAATAGGGTAAACAGAAGTATAACTTTTTGATCGTCTTCTAATGCACGTAAATGTTTGTAATGTGTACGGAAAAGTTACCGATACATTAGCACATAATTATAATTGGCCATTTTGGTTTATTTACTAATGTTGATGCAAGATACAGTAGGTTGTGAAGCGCTGCCTGAATTGGAATTTATAGTTCTTGATAGCTATTTTTAAATAGCTACTGCAGTTATTATGGTCGCAGAAAAATCGTTCCAACGTTGCGGTTTCTGGTAAGATTAATGTTCAAGGACTGTGAATGTGGGGGAGGGAGAGGGGAGAAAGAGAGAGAATACCAACAGGATACTTTTAGGCTTCTTAGTGTTTAGTAACTGTTATTGTCAGACTAAATTATGCTTTACATTTCAACAGCAACACATATCATCATTTCACTATTACCGTTGTCATGTTTACTGCAGGAAAATAAGTTCTATAGCGAGACTCCTAGTAATTACAAGTGGCGTCGCTAGATCTTAATGGACTACTGGTATCAAGGGTTACATTTAGGGCGTTGAGATGGTCGTTGGCTGTTAAAAGAAGGATATAAAAGACTGGCTCCATTAGGAGGGAGACAGTCGCTAGCCTGAGAGTTAGCTGTACCGTATACACTGTCTACGTGGTCTAATTTTTACTACTGTAATATTCAACAATGATCATTAAGTAATAAAACTATTTTTAACCGCTATCGTGAGAGACTAATTCTACGTGTATATTATTGTTTGACTAGATTAGACTTGAGGTAGAAGTAGTACTTTATTACAGAGTATTTATCGATATAGAGTTGATATTTATTATACCGTAAAAGGTAATATATAGGCTACTATGGCTAAGTGTGGAAACGCAGCTTGTAGTACAGTTGTAGTATAGTCGTAGAACTTTATCATGGGATTGCACAACCATCAAAAAGTCATAAAGCTCTATCAGGAATATTACAGTCTACAAGCCTATGTGATAATAACAGTGTAATATGATATCGGATATATCATGTACTGCTGGAGTCTAAAATATGGTTGGAGATATGATGAGACAACGAATCTGTTCTGTAAAGCAATGGAATTCTCCTTATTTTATTTCGTTTACCGAGCAAAGCGTATTATTATGCATGCAACAACAGCGCACCATGAAGAAACTGTATTGACTATATCTATAAGTTATGATACAAGATAAGATACGATATTATATTACGGGCGTTATTACGATAGGAGAGAATAAACCTAAAAACGCCATGATTTTAATTGCCGGCTGCTGTCAAGTGGGTCTCAAATTAGTGAATTATATATATATAGTCAATTGAATTAATGTGGTAGATCAAAATGCATCTTGATCTGGTTATGAAATAGCTTGATGCTATTACACTTGGAGAAGCAGTCGAGATAAGCCTACAGTGGTACAGTGAAAGGAAAATTTATTTTGTCCTTGATTTGTAATAAAGGAGAAAATACAACTGGAAATTTTTCTCCTTTCTACGGGTATTACATACAGTCCGGTAGCTTTTTTTCAAGTCAAGAAATAATCAAGACCTTCCTCATTGATTTTGATTCGGTGTTTGAACACATAGGGTATGCTACAAGCCAAGTCTAACGTTAATCTACTGTCTTGGGATTAGGAATGAAGTTCGGCGTGGAGTTTACTGCCAAAACCAAGTAGGGAAAGGTAATGTTTTCGTTTTACTATACAATATTGGACAATTTCCGATATTACGGAAGCATTTGCCAATCGCAATGCTGATATAGTTGTTGTTCAAGGGATAGACAACGTTAGACTAAATAAACTCAATCAAGAGGATAAAGTATACAGTCGACGCATAGCACAGTAGAGTGATATTACTCATGTTCGGAATATTTTTACAATGCTGCACTAGGCTACAGTCGCTGACAAGTGATCTTGTTGGGGGCGAATTGACGTCATCGCTTCATTTTATAGAACAGACTCGGATTTTATAGAGTCGCCGATGGAACGACGACTCTATAACATAGCCGGCGATCGTATATATGAACGAGGCCGGATACGAAATGGGTCATTTTGCACTCGACTAAAGGAAATAATGTTCCTATGCTGAGGTTGAGGCACCGAAAACTATGATCAACTTATATTTACGCGTATATTGATTCTATTTATTTACGCTTTTAGCTGCCTAAACCTCAGCATAGGAAATTATTTCCTTTAGTCGAGTGCAAAACGGCCGATTTGCCTGTTGGCCTCGTTCATACTGTACGTACAGTACACTGTACAGTACTGTACACTGTCAATTCGCCCCAACAATACAGTACAGTACAGTACCAAGTGGGCGTTGGACTCTACAGTCTACAGTACTGTAGGCGCTGTGATTGTAGGACAGGGCAGGGGCCCCAGGGGGTGAGCTATTAAAGAAAAAATTTTACCCTGCACCACGTTTTCCGTCAAAATTTCCCTACCGACCAAGGTTTTTTTAGACGGTAGGGAGATTTTGACGGAAAACGGGGGGAGGGTGCAATTTTTTCTTTAGTAGTCCCTGATTTAGCTATACTGTAGTTGATATCACTGCGCTCAAGCGACAGAAGATACAGTACAATCTAGAGTACTGTACAGTATAGATTATAACGGTTTGAACCGAACCGAACCTTCCTCAGATCTAGTACAGTACTGTAGACATGGAATGAATGACAGTAGTGTACTGTAGACTGCACACAGTATCCGAGAAATTTTTCCTAATTTTAACTAAAACAAAAATAAAATGAATGTACAGAACTTGAACAAATTACTTATCAAACGATAGTAAATGAGTCTATTAATGCGAATCTGTTAATTTAATTTGCGTACAATATCCAGATCTTTCACAAATTAAGTTGAAAGTGAAATCGTTACTCTCCAAATTCGCCGACATTACAGTGCCTAAAAATCTCTACAGTATACTAATCACCTTGCTACAGTACAAAGTAATCCTGGAAATTCTTACGGACCCACAATCTGTAGCGTACAGTGTATTGTGCACAGTACAGTCATACACTACAGTACTGTACTGTACTGTACTGTGCTCCATGGTACAGTACAGTACGGTACTGTATGCTGTATCGCTGACGGTGACCTTACATCCAATACGGTACGACCGTATGCTAGCGGCGGACTGTCCTCCGAGATTTAATTCATGAATTATACAGACGTTTTCAAAATAGAAATTTGGGACTGTTGGATCCGTTGTGGTTGATCTTGAAATAGTTATTATTATTATTAACAGGTTAATACTATGGCTAACCTATTGCGTCTTAGACCGTTGAAAGGAATCAGAGCAAATCCATGGATGGCAGGATGTTTGAAAGGATCAAAGATGCCGTTCAATGATAGTGGAAGGCTGTTCATACGACGTGGGATTGTCTTATCAACAAGTGTAAAAAATTCCCATCATCATCCAGTCCAATGTCGGCAGGAAACACCTCCTCAAGATGAGACCATCAAATTTGATAATTATCGAATTGCTTACAAGGATAAAACTCCATTAGAACTTTTACGTGGAGTTTTGGTCTACAGATCGTTAACGATCGATTATTTAGTTGATAATGCTATCTGGGTACGTCCATACAAACATTAGCGCCATCGGTCATGATGAATATTAAAAGGATGAATTAGAATTGTATTCATTAAAAGTTCAAAGTGTTATACAATATAAAACTACGGTACTGCACTACGTCTTCTTCACCATGGATTAATCAATACATTTAGCAAGGTCAATTCAACAAGTCAATGATCCTACTGTATACATACGCAAATCGAATTTTTCAATGAGTTGATGTTTAACGTAAAAGCTGCTTTTAAATGTGTTCGGACTAGTCTAAGGATTAATAGAGAGAGCTGCATCGACCTACAGTACTCATAATTCTATGGTTGGCAATAGTCCATGCTTCCATATACTCCACTACTCGTTATTACTGTAAATACTATACACTGTATAGGTTATCCCTCGATATTCACTATGAAATTATCTACTCTTTCCTTTGACCCTAAATAGGACTGTAAAACTCTTGCTATGATTCACCTTGCAAGTGGTTCTTAATTGACTTTCAATCTTTCTATTATACTAATAGATTATGAAGAAATCCAGGAGCTTACTTGGTAGAACTTTATTCGATAAATTGATGCGAGCAACAATTTATGGTCAGTTCGTAGCTGGCGAAAATCGAACCGAAATTATGACTAAAATTCATAAGATGGCTGATTGTGGCGTCAGTCCTATTCTAGATTATGCTACTGAGGAAGATATCACTCGCAACCAGGTTGTTAAGGCCATGAAGTAAGTTACATAGTGCTAGTATAGATGGTAAAATAGTGAGGAAATGAATTAGTGATACATCCAACGTAAATAAATTCACTCATAGCGTAGAGTGTTGAATCCAGTATACAAACTGATCCATACTAGGCTCCCTATTAATCTTACCCATGAATTTTATCTCGAAGCTTTACAAAAGTTATTGATTCTCTTGTAACTACAATTTAAATTTATTCTACTCGTGATGTTTAACCATGATCAAGTGTACAGTACTTCGGTAACTAAGTTGAAACTGTTGTTCCATCTCTTTTGTAAATTTTCATGCATCTATTAGCTAGTAAAATGTACATACTTTATTTTAGCATTACTTTATTATATAGATTAGTTCTTCTACAAATGATTATCTACATCTATCTCTCTGTAATAGGAGCCGAAAAATAACTGTATAGAACGTAGCAACATATACTTGCATATGTGCAGGATATAAACGTTACAAAAATACTCGAATGTAGTGTGTGATAGAACATTCAACCCACTTAATACGCTAGTCGTGATATCTACACAACAAGTGTTACCATGGATCTCTGCTGTACCTTCGATACTTTATATCAGGGGCTACTCATCTTTAGAGTAGTCTCTATTTTGTATTACAATTTTTCTACTATTAATTATCACCTTTGAAGTACTGTACAGGTCGAACACGAAATTTCTATGTCCTCCAATATACGGGTATTCATACTACAGTACGATGTATCATATATATCCGTGCATTATACTTATTATATAATATACTGTATATGTGCCAACTGAAATGGATGATTGCAAATATTGCGTACCGGAAATTATATGCAATTGACAGACTCTAAAGTAGATAATCATTCTTTGCATATACCATGCATTTGAGCTCACATTTTCACACATAACCTAATACGATTTGCACCTGGATGCGATTTCTATATAGAAATTCTACAACCTGTGCTAACCCCATATACGGTATCTTCATGCTCCTATAAAGCGTATACTGCACAAGTTAAATACGCAATATTTCTTAAAAAACTACTAAAGCAAAAGTACTGCTAGAGAAAAGTACTTCGTACCGACATTTCTTGTATATACACATAATTATACAGTACTATATAGTATCTTATTAGCATACACTCTGTATGCATTAATTGTACAGTGTCATTTAAAGATTAATCTGTAGATTGACATTAATGTAATTATAGTTTCAATTCTTATAAATTTTATATCATCTAATATCTTGCTCTTATTAATTATTTGCAACAGCAAGGAAATGGTTAGTGCGAAATTGGAAACAGGTAACCTACTGTCTATACTTGACACGATTCAATATTTAAATAATATTTTCGCTAGTTAAGCATACATTGTTGGCTGTACACTTTACTAATGAACATTTATGTTAATTAATTAACCACATTGCACCTTATTATGACTTTCGCTAAAACATGAATACACTTTTAACTACAGATAGTTTTGTGAATGTTACAAATTCAGTCATGTAAATCGAGAATAAGAAGTTCTTTTTTCATATACTACTGTATTCGTTCACTTTGTCTTTGTTTTACTAGTTAATACTTTACGAATTATCAAATTTCAGCTACATAAGCGAGGTGTGACTGTACGTATACACGTGATCTAATCAGCCACAAAATAGCAACTTTTGCTATAGTCAACCCTACCTAGCCAAGTGTATACCTTAACATATTCAATTCATACCGGTTTTATATTTATTTTTACTCAACAACTACAGTTAGCACTAGAGTTCCAGTTGAAACTCAATTTCAAGCGGATGAGCGATTTGCCGATCGTCGGGAAAACGTAATTTGTGCAAGAACGTACTTCTACGAGGGCGAACGAAAGTGTGATGAAAATCTAGAAACATTTATGCGCTGCATCGAAACTGCCAGTAAGAGCTAATATAATAGAAAATTATCTAGTAGATAAGATGTAATTATTGATCTTGCAATGGAAAGATTGATTAAGTTCATTATCCGTATCTTGTGAGCTTTGTTTGCATTTGATTATAACTTTCAAAGAGATAATTATATCTTGCACTAAGTATTTGTCACAATTCAAACTCTACGACAAGGAAACGTAAAGTAAAAGTCTATAAATAACTACTGACTTAAACGCTCTTTTACTAAACGTTAACCACACACAGCAAAGTACCGTAAAGATAGAAATTTTATTAGCATGGACGCATCTACAACTTTTCACGACTCAATTTAACTCAAAATGTCCCCGTTTATATAGAAACCGTCTAACTTGTAAACGATAGTATTATTATTATACCTTACTAAGAGAGACATCTCGAACTAAGATATTCCTTGCATAGCTTTATCTATAAGTAAATATTTTTAACCTATTAACTCACACTTAATCTTAATCTAAGCATGTATGCCGCCTAGTTCAACTATTATAAGCTAGAACTTGAATCATCTTACTACTATCTACGCATAATAACAATCACTATCAAATATGTAACAAACTATCACAAATAATATCCACGTTAAAGCATTACTTATCTAACCGAGCACTACAAATATGGATATTTTTCATATTAGCAAATACTGTACTATTAAACTATCCTAGCGGTAAGGTAGCGCCGTAACAGTATTAAATTATGCTTATTAACAGTAAGTACAGCAAATATTATATGCCTATTTGCAGATCTGAATCATTTAGCGGAGCAGAAGTATTATTTGAACTATTTCAACTGCTGTTAGATCGTTTTATTTTTATGTTTCTATGAAATTTCGACATTTAGAACAAAATGCCGCTTTTAAATGATTATCATATTAGACTTTACTTTTATCATCAGTTAAGATGATGATAAAGACTAAAAGTTATTGTAATGAAATGAACGACATAATTATAGAAGGCATGGGTAGGCGCCCACTTATTGCTGTAAAAGTGACCGCATTGGGAGAGCCTAGGCTGCTAGTAAGTGATACGAGTATGATTATTAGTAAAGCAGAACGTATGTATGTCATTGATTTATTACTTATAATATCGTTTATCGATTAACAGCTTATATTATAACTGATATAGATTTACAATAATTTGCCATTATCTAATTATACCTCGTATAGACGATGAAGTAATATTGCTACGTATATACGTATATCTGTAGTTTCTACTGATATAGATCTACAATAATATGCCATTATCTAATTATACCTCGTATAGACGATGAAGTAATATTACTCCGTATATACATATGTCTATAGTTACTACGGATATAGATTTGCAATGATTTACCATTATCTAATATACCTCGTATAGACGATGAAGTAATATTATTACGTATATACGTATATCTGTAGTTACAGCTGTCCGCTACTCTTAATCAGACCGAAAGTCTCTTTAACCTAATCGCTATTCAAGCTGATGATGCTATGGATCGCTGTATCACGTTGGAAAGCTTTAAGAAAGCGTTAGATAAACTACAGGTGAAATTCATAATTGTGATATTAAATAATCATAATTAATGAAACAACTAGGCAGCTCCAGTATCCGTAACCTTAGGTGTACCCGCTATAATGACTATTATACAGTATTTGCTAATATCAACTGCTTTTTCTCATGCCTTGGCAGCCATGTACATTTCTGTTTATAACACCTACTTTGCATTAATTAAAAGATGCCGCTTACTAATGAACAAGCCACTGAAGTGTTCAGCTGGATTGATATAAATGAAACTGGGTGTGTGCCGTAGATGTATGATAGAATATAAATTATTAGAATTCTAAACATTATCAATAAAGTAATCGTTTTATTACAAAATATAGAAAAATAGGAAGGATTGATTGGGGTAGAGCTCTACAACCTCATATGAAGGTTACCAACTTCTTTTCCAAATTAAAGGTAATATCTTAAAATAATTAGCCACCATTGTGATACCGTTTAATCGTTTATTATTACCGTTTTTGAATTTAAAATAACATCAAAATTTCTAGGATGCGACTGGTAAGCCATTATTCGTTCCATTGGAAGAAGAAGATCTAATACAATGGAAGAAAGTTGTACATAGGCTTCAAGCTCTTGTTGAGGTATGTCTAACCTCTACACCCTCGCACGTTATTAACAGTGTTTGTCAGCTATTAGTCTTAATGCTTGCCTACTCTTTCAGTGTGCTATCCATAGGAATGTTACTCTTATGGTAGATGCGGAACAGACTTATTTTCAACCCGCAATAAGTTGTTTAACAAAAGATTTGCAAAAGGTCTACAATAAAGAAAAAGGATATGTCTTTAATACATATCAATGCTATTTAAAGGTAGTTTATCGCTATTTTAGCCTTAGCATGATGTTATACAAATTGACTCTTATCGCTTAAAAGAAGTAATTAATAATACTTGAGTAGAACACGCCCTGCGCACTAGCAACTGACTTGGCAGAAGCTAAAAGAGAGAATTACATATTTGGAGTTAAGCTAGTTAGGGGAGCTTACATGGATCAAGAAAGATTGCGTGCAGAAACTTTAGGTTATGAGGATCCAGTCCAACCTAACATAGAATCAACGACACAATGTTATAATAAAATGTTAACCATGATTATGAATAACATAAAAAACTCGGAAATAATTGTCGCTTCTCACAATGAGGGAACGGTTAAATTTGCTATCGAAAAGTAGGAGTTAATATTCTTTTTCTAGTCTGCATTAATTTACCTATTGGAATGATTTTACAATCGATTACGAATTTATTGTAGGATGAAAGAACTTGACATACGAAAAGATGAGAATAAGGTACTGTTTGGTCAACTATACGGAATGTGCGATCGAATTACGTATGCGTTAGGTAAGATACAATTCATTCTTTGTATTTCCCTTTTAATAAAGAAATGTCTATGACACCGTAAGAGACTACTATATAGCTTAACATTGCAAACAATGCTAAAATATTGATCGAATGTTGTTGAATGTACTGCCAAACAGGAGCTGCTGGTTATTGTGCGTATAAGCTTGTTCCGTACGGTCCAGTTGACGAGGTATTACCGTATTTAACTCGTAGAGCTTTAGAAAACAGAGGATTTGTTTCGGGAGCTACGCGAGAACGAGAACTGATGTGGAAGGAATTTAAGCACCGTTATTTTTCTGATAAATCTGGAACTGATAATATCGATAATATGAATAAATACAACGTCAATTAGAACTTATTTTAAAACATTATGACTACGTATGGCCCCTTGCAATCTCAGATGCCTGTTACTTAAAGTATAAACGGTATCACATTTTATATTAACTATTTTGTGTCACTCGCTTTCTTCAAATGGAACATTATAAACCTGTATGGTAACGCTTTTACAATATGTTCCAGGTAAAGTGTGCTTGTGTTTTACGTAATCATCGAAAGATGGATGAATTTTAAAGAATGCGATAAGTTAAATTTAGCCTATCTAGTTTATTTCTTTTCATATAATGCAGCGATACTCAACCTATGTACATACAGTACTATTTCAAAATATGCATTTTGAACAAGGAGGCCGAAGCCTTAGTTGAATTAGTACGTCTATCAAGCAATACTCGTATTTGGTAACATGGCTACAGTAGCCCGTAGATGTTATATATGACCTTTTTATTTATTGATGAGGCTTACATCGCAATTATCACTTGTTTTCATGTATAATACAGTGCAATAGTATCTCATTTGAGGAATAGAACTTACAGAAATTATAATCTTTGTATCAACTTCGCTACATCTATATCGAAGAAGACAAAAGTCATTTTAATGACTTTACAAATAAAAGAAAGCCTTGAATGTACGAATCAGTTCATAAATTTCTCTGTTAAAAAAATAGAAACTTTCAAATTTACGAACGTCACATTAGCTATATTACAAATAAGTGTATTTGAAATAGCAGACCCTAATCAGGAAATTTTCAATATTATACGTAGTATCAATAGAAGCAAAAAGGAGATAAAACTGATCAAAAATGAGTAATCATTATAAAATAAATGTTTAGTAAACCATAAGTTTTCATTAAGTTCGAGAAGCCTGAACCTAAAGGAGAAAAGCAATCGTTATGACAATATCAGTATTAGCAAATAAAACAGCTATAATGTCTATACTAACGCGTACCCTATTTCATAGCTACAATAAATCGTAACAGAAATAGATTATATCGTTAAATAGTGGATGTGCATTGTAATATAGTGACTCACCTTGTCTTTCATTTGCTGACAAAGTCGTAAAGCTAGTGAGATACTTCTTAAAACATTGGACAGTCTTGGTATACACGTTTCTACCTGAGGAACAGAAAACGCTCATTTTAAGAACGGCAACACCCCCATCAATTCCGGCAGTATTTGTTGAGCATTAAAAATATGCGCCGACAAAATATTTATCGAAATACCTGCATATTATGCGCTATCTCATACATGACTTTGGCACCGGACAGCTGCGTGTTTATGCTATATTTAGAGAATGCGGATTGTTACTGTGACGTCATTCAATAACGATGCGATGAAACTTTCTCATATGGAGAATATACTTACAACGTAGTACCAATTAAACTTGTATTCCCAGGTTTCTATTAAAATATATAATTCAAGATCGCGTTCAAAATTATGAAATATTTTATCTTGTAGTAAGATCATAGGAAAAAATGGATTATTAATTGGTTGTGAAAAGTTTAAAATCATACATATTGGATCTGGGAGGCTTGATTAGGGGATTTAAGATTGAAAAAGTATAATTTCATGATCAATTGGTCTCTATTGATATAAAAGTCGGTCAATACATCTTCAGGCAATGGAGGATCAAACATATTCTAAATATTTAAATCGAGAACATAATTATACAGTTAGATAACAAAAAGTCGTCAATGTTGCATTACTATCATAATAGGTATTACACTGCTTTCGGAATTTAAGATTTCAGCTGGATGTCTGATAGTAGGTAAAATTAAGGCGGTTTCAGCTTGACTTAAGCTATTCATGAAGTTATCAATAATCTAATGTGAAATGAAGACAATAATGTACAAATATTACTTCCAGATCTCTATATAATAAAAAGTATTGCATCACATTTATCTAAAACTAAGACAACACCGTGACTTTGTAAATATGAATTTTATTGATACCCACTTTACAAACTTCATCGCCGGACTTGAAAAGCTTGCCTTTCGTTTGCTCAAAAGACTTTAATGCTATATTTACAAACCGAGTTGCGTCTCGTAACTATTGAAAAGGTAGTTGTAAAATTAAGTTACTTGGAAGTATAGGGCCATTTTCGATACTAAATAACAATATCTTTACTAAATTAGTATTAATACCTTAACATCATAAACTTCTAAACATTATACGATAATTCATTAATAGAGAGTTAGTAATACGTTGCGGTAAGAGTGATTGTTTTAGGAGTTATCGTGAACACTTGTGTATGTTAAACAATACCACACTCATTGTGTCTACTGTATGTATTCATAGTTTTAGGTACACATTTACTAGAGCATATTTTTGTTTGCGAAGAATGTTGTACCCTACAAAGCTAATATCGAAATTAGCTCAATACATTCAAATCTTAATGGATAAATTTACCTGAAATAATCTAAGAGGCCAACATTCACGAATTCCAATTGAGACCTGGGTAGGATTCACTTTACTAGGCCTTGTAACCGTAATATCCTTTAATCAATGCAAAAATCGCAGATTTATCTAATCTCTAAACTATTTTACATAGCTATATAGTATTAAATTACGTTATTAAAGTTAATGAAAATAAATCATTTCATGCCACTTACCGCTTTAGTTATACTATCTGCATTGATAGTGATAATGCCCTTAACTAAATCTTTCCTTTATTGCATATACGAAATAATAAATGTAAATCAAATAGAGAGATTTGGACTACGTTATCCTGTACTATCATTCTTTCGTTATGATTTATTTTAGAAAGGATAAATTTCTTAATATGCTAAGTAAATATTTCGTACTTACTGGGGCAAAGTCATTTTAAAATTTTCAGGCTTTGCTTCAGAATCTTCAACTTTGATAAGGGAAGGTGTCATTAAAGATATTAGAATTGAATATATCAAATAACAAGATCGCCGAATCGGATGCTGAAATTATATTACTGTTGTACCGTAATTCTTATGATTTAGAAATATACAGTACAGTATGATAATTACCGTATACTTGCATATTATTTATTTAAATCTTATAAGGTACAGTGTATCAAGTAGTCAGCATAGTCATGACTTAACAATGCTCTCTGTTGAAGCTTAGAGTAAAGTGGCATCAACGTGCATTTAAACGGTTACAAAACTTCAGTATCAACGAGAGGCAGTTAATGGCATGTACCATGCATGGTGTTTTATATGAACAGCAAGATGCAATAAATAGATAATAGATACTTTACTCTCTCAATGGAGAACTAAATAATGGGTTAAGATCACACAGTAATCAAGCACGTGAAATAAAACTTGCTATTTTTGATGATGTAAAAATTAGTAACTCAACTTACCTATTACATTCATTACTCCTAAATTTTGTTCAGAAATCTAATAAGCAAAATCAACAGGAGCATTTTAAAGTCCAGTTAAATATGATGAATACAATGATTACGGGTCGTAGAATAATTTAATATATGAAAGACGCTTCTGAGTATTATTAAAGGGATTTTACTGTTGAATCATTGACTATACAAAGATACGACGATAGACAGTACTTGACTGATAGGCACCTTAATAAATTCACCAAGACGATTGAAATCTTGTGGCAAATCGTAATGTAGCAACCATTGAAATTCCTTACCCTGCACGTTATGAATAGTAAGCAGTCTTTAAACATATTATTCGATGAAAATATACGTATGAAAACTGTAGCTGTCAGCAAGCGAATAGTGGAGATTGACTAATTTTAAACTTTCGACCTTGCATAAGGGTATCACGAATCAAAAGAGTTAGTCGCCTTTATCAATATAGCAGCAAATAGGAATTCAAGTTTGTAAGTTTACTAGTCTCAGTTACAATAAGTTAAGCAGAAATCATTTACATTTCCTTATAAAATTGGTATCAGGCTACAACTGATTTTTTTAGTTCTTTCGACTAACCATAGTGCAAGTTTTTTTAATTAGAATATAAATTTTACAGCTAGCTTACTGAGTCAATGAATAATCTCTGGAGAGATTTAAGAATGGATCTGAAATTGCAATTCTACGCGCATGATATACTCAATCAATTTTATAACTATCTGCAGAGTTGATATTCCCTAGAGATTATTACTATTATTATTATTCTAATTATCTGTCAACTCTCAAGCGTTGTTTACAACGATGCCTGCAGGTATGGTAAGCAAGCTAGTAAGTAAAATTGAAGCAAGTGTAATCTATACGAAGAATAATTGAGAGAATAACAAGTTGCCAACAAAGTACTGAGTGGGAAACCCAGTTATCATAGGCATAATTTATAGTGGCTATTCATAATTTAATTACCATTGCGTATTTGCGTTGTTACTGTACATGTAAATTGCAATTACGTCCATATCATCACTACATACTACAGACCACGTAATAGCAATGATAATAATGGAATAATTTTTTCGGACTAGAAAAGCAATATGGTATAAAATAGTAGTGGTAGTACTCTACTACAACAACCTCAGTGACTGAATTTCCGTCTAATTTAACTGACTTTAGAGAAGAAACGAAGACTGCGGTCTCTAATACTGTACAGTAATACAGTAGTATGAAAACACACTGGCTGCAGAATTGCATGAGGTATGATGGACATTCTTGTAATATTTCAAGCAACAGAAAGTCATGTGTTTCATAATATGGTGCGATCTAATATTAATGATGATCCATGATTATCCAATAAATTTATCATTGTTGGCAAAAAATGACAGAAGATGAAGCTTTCAATTGATTGCTTGTAGGACATTGCAATCCTCATCGAACGTAGCTGTTCCCTAAGCTATTGAATCTTTCATTCACATGCAGAAGATTAACATGTTGCAATGTGCTCCCCCCATTTCTTACACTGCGGTCATAAAAGTATCCTTTAAGTAATGGTAAGATATGAAAATTGGAAAGGGAAATCGACCTCTTAGATAGCAGCTTTCATACTGACAACATGCCTGTAATTTTGGTATCCTATGTTAAGATTTTGCTCTTCTCTACCGACCTTATTGACATTTTCCTTTTGTAGTTGCTGACGAAGTGGGGTAACATTTGCAAATGCTGCCATCGTCACCACAGCCAATCGAACATGGAAAGTGCGTCGTAGTTCAGTAATTTAGTTTTGTCACTCTCTCTCTCTCTCTCCTACAATAAATGGCTAATTTGAATCATGGCTCTATATCATAAGATAGTTTGTTCAATCCAACACCTCCACCCATCAAGACTGGAGAATTTGCTGAGGAAAGTGTGCAAGGGCAGTAAATCTTGATGATGAGATCAAAGCCATTAGAGTACAAAGTACTGTATATTTGGGGTCCAGTACCGTACTGTACAAAGTGTCCGAGAAACTTTTACGTATTTCAACGAAAGTAAAATGATAAAAAATGTACAGAACTTTAACAAATCGCATGCCAAATCATAGAGCAGAAATCCAATAAGGCGAATCCGTCGTTATAATTTGCGTACGATATCGAATTTCGAAATAATTATTCATTAAAGTACGCCGATTGCTACAGTACTAAGAAAAAAAAAGAGGGTTTTGTGTACTGTACTGTATGTACTGTAGCAGCAGGCCTTCGTGGCGAGAATTCAGGTACTGTAGCTTGGGAATGAGTACATTCTGCCTACCCAAACCTCACTCAGTACCGTCAAGGTTAATATAACTTTTCTAGCGCTACTAGAAAATCACTTCAGAACAGTACATGAATACAGTGTACAGTACTATATACTGTAGCGTTGAACCCATCCACTGTAACTGTACAGTGTACAGTACAGCCTATAGTACATTGTAGTGAAAACAGTAAGTACTGTACAGTAGTACAGTTGTGCATTCGTACGAAAGCAAAATAATAAATAATGTACAAAATTTTAACAAATTGCACGTCAAACCATAGAGCAGAAATCCAATAACACGAATTCGTCGTTATAATTTGCGTATGATGTCGAATTTCGAAATAATTATTCATTAAAGTACGCCGATTGCTACAGTACTAAGAAAAAAATGAGGGTTTTGTGTAAAGTACTGAGGGTGGACGGGCTAATTTCTATGATTTTTGTGAAGGTAAATGTAAACAAAATTTTTGATTTCTTCAATAAATTTTATATGAAACGAAAGAGAATGAGTTGAATTACAAGAATCCGTTGTCAGAATTACTATACGAAACGTAGTTTCTTCGTAAATTATGTTTAGAGCCAAACCGTTATTTCGAAAACTACAGTACGCAAAAATCTCCATACTAATTAACTTACTACAGTACAAAATAATACTGTAGAGTACCGAATTTGCCGCGAAATGGACAATTCCCCAAACCATTTTTTTATGCTCTTCTGCATGCAAGATACTAAAAATGACTTACTTGTCTGTTAATAAAATCATCTTATGACGTGTAAGTTGAATTAATATAGTAACTGTAGTCTTAAAGTAATGTCTAAAATTGAAGGCAGTGACTTAATGATGTCAAATAAAGTTGAAATAAAAGCGTTATTTGTGATTTAGTAAGTCTAAAAATCTGGTGCAAATTGATGTCAATTCAATCGATCAATAATTTGAGACGTAAATAACAATTTAAAAATGTCGACCTTGAAAGTGTAACTTAATTATCCAATTAACGACTAAGCGTATAAAGCAGTATGGGGAGCGTCTTGGTTTGTGACAAGAATTACAGTAAGCGTATGCGCTGATCAAAGATACTAAAATTTTCAATCCTTGATGAACTTAATGATTATATTCGGATTACGTCGTTTATTATCGCAAGGTGTGTGAGCTATGTAAATGGTATAAGTCAAATTTACGATGGAGAAATAAATCGATATTTCCATCAATTTTCCTATAGTACATCTAAAGCTCAGTAGTAGTTAAAATAATTTATTTATTTACTAAAATTATGTTATATCGGAATAGATTTATTTTGATCTATGTAGAGCACTTAGTTGTAATCTAAAGTAAACTGAAGTTCATTTAAATTAAATAATCTTTCAATTTAGTACGAATGAATGCCAGAGAACATCGCGAATTTAGTATATAATCCTATTTAATAACTAACAACCACGTTGAAATAACTTATTAGTTACTCATATAGTAAAAGATTATTTGGTTAATGTGTCTCGCCCAAATTTTAATATTACGTTAATTATAATCTATCCTAACATTAGATAAATAGATTAATGTATACATCTAATCAGTTAAGCATTTTATTTAAATTATAGATCGTCAAACAGATGCATTAACTATTATAATCATCAGCCTCTTACTTAAATATTTTTATTAATTGAAATAATTACTATACATAATAACTTCGCAGTATTATATTGTAATGGATCAAATCGCTTAATGTCTTCTCCTTGTATAGATTAATATGGTGCTGATATAATGCGCAATATCTGTCACATCCAATACATATATGTACTCAAATGAAGTTTTTTGGTCCAAAGGTGTTTAAGTAACAATGAAAATTCTGTAAGAATAACTAGTTTACAAACCAAAGTTGGTAACATTAATTACTCGTAAGTCGTACCATTGTCGATTTATTATTCCCTTTCGCCTTCATATAGTATTAGTATGAATAGAATTCGCTGGCATCCAATGTCATAGAATATCCAAAAAAGCTAATTTATCAGCAAATATTAATTTGAATTTATAAGCAGTATCATTTTAATATTCATTCATTTAGAATGAACTTTACTAATACGAGTATATAAATTACAGGCTCATTGAGAATTTAAAACCTAGGTTTGTTGAATTCAGTAAACTCTCACAAGATTATTGGGTTTGTATAATTATTTTGGCGAATTTAATTCTATGTTAATATCTGTAGACTGGCACATTAATCCTATAACACTAGAATTTTAAGTAAGAGTTAAATAATCACCTTTAAGATGACGTAATATCACATAGTTTCACAGTCTAGTGATTACAATATTATACAGTAGGTAGCTCTATATAGAGAAAATGTTACACCAAGTAATAGATAAGTTTATTTTAATATTATACACTATTCATTTTTACTGAATTGTACAACTCTCTGACATGGCAATGATTGTAAAAATATTCTTTTTTCGACTAGAAATATTCTAAGTCAATCTGTAACTTTCATAGACGAATAATGAAGATCTTCATAGTTCTCTCTCTTGTCGCCTGCGTTGCTGCCTTTAAACGTGAGCATAGCTCAAAAAAATCATTCTAGTGTCGCGGGGATCGTCTATACATGGGAACTTACGGAAATTTGATTCAATCAAGCTATGCTTTAAATAGACAACTAGATAATGACCACGTGATAGAGTAATAATAAAGTATAGCGAACATTGACTACAGTTTTACCAATAAAATACGCAGACCAACGATCTAATGTCTGTGAAAAATCATGAATCATATTTATACCAACGTCTACCAGTATTAATTTGTATTAATTGGACTCAATGTGTGCAAAATACGATACCGACAGACAGTTATTGAGTCAATGTACTCCATTTGTTAGCTTTTAATCACTTAGCAATTTCCACTTAAGTATGACTATACGATAGAATATATTTTATTGAATTTTTTGTGTAATATGTGTAGGCTTAGAAGCTCCAACGAATAATCAGAACTATTTTTCTTTAAAATTTTCTAAAACTGTCTAGAATTTTACTCCTATATAGGCTGCTTGGTTAGTAAGGTATTATATGCTAGCTTAGCAATATAATCTAGCCGAAAAGAATCACATATAAGAAAGAGCACGGCTGCAGTTCTTAGTAATTTTGCTGGTGAATGTTATTACTAGCTTCTAGAAGATATTTTTAACACGTGTTGTGAGTTACATCAATATGTTTATTTTAATAAGTGGATATACGAGCACATGTGCTATAAGCACGTAGTATTTATTCGTAAGTCGTCCTAATCAAAGCTTTATATTACTTCATGATCGTTAAAAAATTTTCCATTTCTAAGTCTAGTTCCTCCTGCTGTAAAACAAATCAAACGTGGTAAGGATACTGTAAAATACATTAATTTTTCCTTGATGGACGAATTAATGGTAGAATATGAAATTAATTTAATTTAACCCGATGTTTGGAACGTGCGATTTTCGTTATACTGTTGTAATTTCGGCCTAAGACACCATAATTAAGAATGTTAATTATTTTTTTTTGCCAATTTAGAATGGAAAGTTCAGCCTGACAATATTGATAATAGCGACAGAATTGTTGTCGGGTCGAATGCTTATGCTGGTGATATCCTATATGTTGCATCTGTTAGACAATATATAGGAGGCTATTGTACACATATTTGTGGTGGTACTATTATAAGATATGATCGCGTTTTAACTACTGCTCATCGTACATTTGGTTTATCGTGATTTAGTCAATATTGTAGCAAGTTAAATCACCATTAATGATAATCTTGATGACCATGAATAACATTCCTCTGTTAACTCTATGTAAGTTTTGAAAGAATAATAAGGCTATAATGTTATTACGACTCCATAAAATAGTTTAAATCATATTGATAAGCTCAAAATAAACCGAAAAAATGTATTGTATATCGTACATAGCCATTGATATGAGAAACATTTATCGATATAAAAATTACTTATGAAAATGATTTCTTTTTTCATGTATAATTGCCATTATAAAACTTAGGCATAAGACGCATTCATAGTCTTGATCGCCATTGATAATCTGTAAAATCGATATAACTGATGTAGATATTATTGAATTATTGTGATTAAGTTATTCAGTACTCAACTTAATTTTATAAAATTTACTGGTAATAGATCATTCTGAATAAATTTAGTAACTCTTTTAGAGACAATATACTTGGATTAGGACGAAAGCATTAAATTACAAGCTACAAGATCTTCATTTTTATTTACAGCGTTGAGCATTACTCGTACAGCTCATACAGTAACAATTACGACTTCTTAGTTTTAAGCCTTAGAAAATCACTCAGTTATAACAGCTATGTAATTTCTATTTCGATGGGATCTGCTAGTACTGGTGAGTGGGTTACTGTAGCTGGACGGGGCGAGAATCATGAAGGTGGCCCAAAATCGAATCACCTTCAGAAGCTCACTATCCCTATCATGAACGATCCTGATTTCAAGAAAGCTTACCCGAACGAAATCTATGATTCTGTGCAATATGCTAGTTGTACGATTAAAGCTGGCTTGGACTCTTGCTACGGAGACAGTGGTGGTCCGTTAACGCGAGGAACTGGTACATTAGCTGTCCTTGTTGGAGTTGTTGGCTGGGGAGATGGCTGGTATTTACTAAATTTTATCCAATTTTATTATAGCATAACTGAGCTATATATTGATTTGCTGAAGTCGGCTATGGTATTATAATATCGTTAGAATAACGCAATACTGTACTGTTATCGCAGGAATATATGGCATCATAACAACACATATTTGCTGGAGTTATCTATTAAATATTGCTAGTATAAGACATACAGTATATTTGGAACACAGTTTACCATTATTCCGGTAATTATGGTATCTCGATAAATATTTACAAGCTCATTTCACCTAATTTATTAAAAATAATAATATTCTACTAAAGTAATCGCAAAAAGAGTTTTTAGAAACGAACGCAATTTACTAATAACTGTATCTTAATGGCCTAGCATGCTTTACTACTGATACTATATTGCACTATAATTTATTAAAAGAATTATTTAAAATTTTCGAAACATTTAAAGAGCTAAACTTAATAACAAAATACAATACTTTATTTAGGTTGTGCTCGCTACGGCAAACCAGCGTCTATGGTCGTGTCAGTAAAATCCAATCATGGGCTAGTGGCATCTAACCGCACTACCTTATTATGATCTTACTACAATATGCTAATATTGAATAACTTAGTCCATTATAACTACCGACTTGATTATAAGTGATGTACACCATTGCTTATTAATATAACGTTTCAACTCTTCATATTGTCACTAGAAGTCTGGAAGTCTAGATAATTAGGCTTATATTTATCGAGTATCTGTAGATTAAGTAGCGTAAAGTATTTTAAGGTAGACGATGATAGAAGGTATAAAGGATTTTATTGAGATACAAGTTACAGGCTAACAATGATATGGTTGTTATAGATAAGGTATTTGAGATAGCAGGAACGTAGGAACTGACTAACGAGTTAGCGTACAAGGGTATTTATAGGTTTTAGATGGGATTGAGATAATGTCTTTATATGTATAGCATGTCGTCTATATGTGGTCATGATGTCGTACATTATGAATGTAATACAATACAGTACTTAAACGGTATATGATAAGTATTCGTATATTAGGATATTACTATACTAGGCATCTTCTATATAAAGATCATAATGTTACAACCGTCACGTGATAGCCACTGCAGTTCCACGGTAGTCTCAATGCCGATGAAAAACTGCATGGCTGAAGGCTGTTTTATAGTTTAACCTCGGGATAGGCTGGTCTGAATATTCCAGTTCTAATGACTCTCAATTGAATTTTTTCCACATAAGAAATGTTACAATAGCATTTATCAACTCTAGCATGACTGACTAGCTCTCAACTGTCATCTAACACCAGACTATCGTACTATAATACGGTACTAGCAGTCATCACGGCAGCTTACTATCACCTGCTGTCACCGTTCTGTACTCGACAGTGTCAACTTTTGAACTGGTCTTCTTGCCGATTTCAACAGCCTCTTAAACGGTACTCAACAAGCTGGAGCCGTTTTAAGTTGCCCGTATTGAGAATAATTATATCTTACGTGTTGAACAACATCAAGCACCTCTAGTTCTATTTCTTTACGAGGCAATTCTACGTAAATGGCCTTAATTGATACGCATACAAACTGTGGATGCTTTAGTGTTATGTCTGACTCACAAGGATTGTGCTGACAGGTCAAGGATGAAGGAAGGAGTTTTACTGACAGATTAAATACTAATAGTTACTCCAGTAGTCAACGGCACAGAAAGGATAATCATATATTAATCGTAATAAGGATAAGACTTATGTATGTATAGCTATAGCTCGTAGTAAGGCATTCGATGTAGTTGCTCTGATTGGCTATCATGTTGAGTACAGGATAAGATAGCTACAAATACTTACAGGACGTACTGTTATAGATGCTTTCCATTTAACGAATACTTAAAAATAAAATAAATAAATGTTGATTTACAGATTGAGCTAAATAGCATACAGCACTTGACGAAATAGAAGTCATAATTCGGTAAGATTGCATATCATAAAATCAGTTTTATTTTTCCAACTACGGAAATTGCTATTGACAAGTTTTACCATTTAAATTTGGTACGATAATGAATAAGCATCATTTTTTCCTTAAATATGCAATCGTGCTAAATAGAACTACAATTTATCTACCCGGTTGATGTGTATTCAATTCTGATCGCTTTGTTGCAAATATACGTATGCTACCTAGTGTTCAATTGCACGCTGCTAGTAGTTTATGCAGTAGATTAATAGTTTAATTACATATTATTATAATTATTAATCACAATTAATAATGAGCAATTTATTAAACTATTAATCTGCTACATACACTACTGGCAGAATGGAATTTTCACATACATACGTATAACAGCGCTATCTAGGTATGCACTGTAATTTTAACGGATTGTTGACGCCGAAAAAATATTTAATTGTTGCAGTCCTGGTGGTTATCGGATATTATTGACGTTAATATTGACGGTTGACTAGATCGGATTAGGAAAAAATTCTATCGTTTTCAGGACTTTTTATGGAAATGGACTGCCAATGATAAACTGGAGTAAATGCGTATGGTAAACACTAAACACCACAGAGTACCACCGTATACAGTACGTTTACTGCACCGTTCTATCCATTAGTCAAACTGCGGAATGTCGAGTCAAGTAGCGGAATTCACTTAACGGATACTCAATTCGCGGGATGGCTAGTCAAATCGTAGAATGGTTAAGCAATTCGCAAACAGGCTAAGGAATTCACATAGACTGGAAACACCTACCATACAGTACGTTAGCAAAGTATTTAAAGAATTACGCAGACACGGTACAGCAAACGGCTTAGATATAATATCTGCGAGAGTGCTGCATCGTCTTATGAGTTAGTAAATTATTGTACTTATGTAAGAGTATAATACACAAAATTTTCATAAATTTGCACTATTAGACAGTAATGCAAGGGGTGAAAGTGTACAAATAGCTGTCATAATTCCAAAGACAGAAATCTTGAGTGACCCATGTTGTGCTATGAAAATGGTACAATTTTATCATTTAATAAGATTGCATAAGCTTCTCAATATACAGAATTTAGCTAAAACAGCTAATAGCGTTCTACTTGTAGGAGGGTGTTGTAAGGAGGACTAAAAAGAGCACTCACATTAAATACCATACCTCACTATTGACTAAGAACACCTCAGATTGCTACCGGAGGATAACGGTTTTGAGTTGAAAACTGCAGATGGATCGAAACGCTCCAAACTACGTATAGCGACAAACCATTTGAGGAGACAAGAAAAGTAAATTAGGCGGACATTACCTTGTGTCACGTGCTCGTATCGCGACGAGTTATGTTATGTATGTAGATTGTTAGTCATGAATTAGATACCTAATTTGCAAGAGAGCTCAAAGGTCAGATTGTGCTCCGGTCCTGGTTAATCTCATGTTATAGCATGCTCTAACGTACAGTATTTTAAAGTAAGGCTTATAGATGTACTAATTTAGATCTAAGAATATACGATAGATGGATGATACGGTTTATCAGTATTAACTTCCGCGCATAGAAAGTATAAAGTGAGTTATTTTTTTAAACAAAGAGAGTTCTAGTTTGATCTTAATGAAGACTGGTATCTGTGCTTAACTGCGCTTGGAAGCAGTTTCTGTGCTACAGAAGTGATCGAAAGACCTTGACAGTGTCACAATGAAACGAACGATTAACTTCTTAGGTCCAGCGTATGCAACTATCGTAGCTTTAAATATTTAAAGGTTTGAATAGCCACGAATTAAAACAACGGTTATTGTGGTATATTAGAATAATTATACTACATAGTTTACAAACCAGAGGAACATACTAATAAGATAGTCGGTCCGATTTCGGATTTATTTAAATTTCGCTAGGATTACAATGTAATTAAATTTATAATGAGCATTGTCAGAATTGAACCTGAGTTAGTTAGATATACGCATATAGCAAGAATTTTATAACATAATTTTATGACATAATCTATCTTTGGCAACCGATAGCTAGGTGTTTTGCACCGTCTAGTTCTAAAACATGTATACCTTGAAAACCTAAAAATTCTTAATCTACGGGTACATACGTTTATATTACTTCTAGTTATTACAATAGGTGTACTTTTATTACTTAAGATGATAACTGAGGTAAAGATAACGTTCAGACTCATTTGTGGACTATTATTATCAATATCTAATGACCTTAAATTTAAATCATCAATGCATCATGTGATAAAAAACTTGGGCTTAATTTACTAATCGTATTATGGCATCATTATTTTACATATAGATCATCATGTGATGTTTACTCCACGTAATCAAATCTTATCTACAAGATGCGCGGCTTTTAAGCTGTCTTAATAAATCATCTATGATAAATTGCACCAATTAAAGTCTAAGGTGGTTGAACCATGAGTCAATAACCTCACTATTTTCTGTTAATATAATGAAAGTTATGACATTGAACTGAAGGCAAATGATGAATGCAGAATCATGCGATACGGTACGCTTCAGTGGATTACTTGATTAATAAAACATGCCATGAGATTATTCAATCGTCAAGATAAATAAGCTATTCAGTTTAAAACGCTAAATATCTTGACAAGATCAATTCACGAGTAAAACAATTTGCCCTTGGTACATACCATAGCCATACCTGAATTCTGCTGCAATAAAGCATCTTAAAAATAATATCATAAAAGCTTGAAATTTTTGTTAACTTCACTTTTATTACATGGACTCGTTCTTTTACCAGTTTCGCAATCTTGACATCTAACCCTTAAACTTGGCCATTTTGGAGCTACACTGCGACTGTTTAGCATACCTTGGTAGCGAGAATCAATAAATAATAGGTTATCGAACACGTTTTCATTAGCATAAGTATGTTTTTGTCGAATTATTAGCATCTTCTATATTTAAGATTGCTATTATCAAAAACGCCCATATTGTTGTTAAGATAATCCAACTGAAATATTTGGATCGTTTAAACTCAAAAGCTTTTTTTTGAGACCTAGTGTTACGGCACTACGTTGCCCAAATTATAGAATTCAAGAAAGTATTGTTGCTGACAGTGGTTCAGTGTTCTAGTATGTTTGGTAGATTATAGTACAGCGTATCTACCGGCTGTGAGCCTTTTAGCAGGGTAGTCATAGTAGCAGTACTATATTCTTACTAGATCTTTCGGTAGATTAGGGTAGTAATCTGTAGAAGCAACTCGAAGTAAGTGCTTTGCGTTAGACTAGTAAACTTGTTAGGAAGTAGTCAGTCATTACAGCAAATTTATGACTATTTTTACTACGAAAGTAAGGTACACTACGTGATTCTCAAACAGAGTCTGATATAAAAAGGGGTTAACTCTCAAAGTGGAAGTAAAAAAATTATTATGTTATAGACAATATCATCAATAAAATGCGTGTTAGCATCACGAATGATAATGTCGACTGCTGTTATTGTCTTAGCAATGGAAATTGACTTTAAGTGGAATTTCTAGAATATATTGTCATAACTGTACGTTCTAAGACATTACCATTATATGTAATATTTAAGTGCTTTACTTGATAAAATAGGATGTAGTAATCACGCCGAAATTGCCTTATGTTATTTATTGACTTAGCGATGTATGCTATGAGATCTTCAGTATGAACAACATTTTTAATGGCTTCTCTTTCAATTTTT